CACACACCAGCTGCCCTTCATGGAGGGGGAACCCCCCCAAAGTGGGTTGCACCAGCCACAGGAAGACATGGTGCTCCCCCACCAACCACCACCATCACCCACCACCCTCTGGCTGCCTCTGGGGAGGATGGAGTTGAGCTGGTGAGACTTGGTATCGAAGGGTGGAAAAAGCCCCTTGACCTTCCAAGGCCCCACCCCGAATGCCCCAACACCCAGCTTGCTTCTAATTCACTTAACAAGTTTGTCCTGGGCGCTCACTGTGCCAGGCAGGGAGCTGGGGGCAGGTATATGGACGGACAAGGCAGCACAGCCTTGACCCAAGAAAGGGCGACAGACAAGCTCAAGGGCAGCTGGAACACAGAATGCAGCGAGGGCTGTGCTGCAGGAGCAAAGGAGGGGCATCCAACACGGACGCAGGAGGGGGCTGATCAGGGAAGGCTTCCCGACAGAAATGACATCCAAGCTGAGGCCTGCAACAATTGGCCCGATGAAATGGACAGGGAGCAGTAAAACGTGTTCGAAGGAGAAGCAAGACGGAACACAGTACATTCTAGAAAACGGTGAAGCGCATCACGGCTGGCACTGAAGCAGGCAGGGCCTGGCCATGCCCAGGCTGGGAGTGAGGCCATCTGATGAAGGTCTTCACCTGGACCCAACACAAGGCCCCAAGTTGGTCCCCATGGAAGGCCCTGCTACTTCTGGAGTGTCACTGCCTGTCTCTGGACCTTACTCACACCGTTGCAACCCCCACCCCAGAGTGCCCACCCAGCCTTCTGAATCCCACCTGTCCTCCAGTCACCTCCTACAGGCTGCCCCCACCGGGGAGTGAGTCTGTCTCCAAAACCCAGCCACAGGGCCCACACCCCTGGGTAACCCAGCACCAAGGCAGGGCCTGGCATCTCTGATGCCTGATCACCCGCTCCAAGGGTCTGAGAGGTGGATGGGCCAAGAGGACTAACCGCTTCTACCCCTGGGGTTTTCCTAGCTTGCAGAAACAAACTCAGACACGGCACAGCCCATGCTCCACGGGCAGAGGAGGTTAAGAGCACAGCAGGGAATGATGGCGTCCAGGTCCTCTCTGGGCAGGCCTGGGGCTCTCCTAGGGCCAGCCTCTGGGACTGTCCTATGACAAGCTGAGAAAACACTCTTCACTGGGATGGGGACCAACTTCCCCCACATGAAAACACGGATCCTTGCAAGAACCTTGCCAGGCAAGGAGAACCATGCTCCTTTGTTCACATGAGGCTCAGAAAGGTAAAGTCGCTTTCCTGAAGCCACACAGCAGGTCGGCGATAGAACTGGGACTGGAACCTCTGTCTGTCTGGCTTCAAAGGTCCTGATACTTTTCAGGGTCCCCTGCTGGGAAGTGGGGAAGCCCTGAGACAGCCAAAGGAGCCAGCCCCCAAAAAGGGGCACTGGGCCTCTGACCCAGGGCAACCAAGAGCATCTCTCCTTTGGATGTGTTGAAAACAGTGTCTCAGTAGTACTGGCCCTGGGCAGGCGATGGACCAGGATCAGAGGGAGGATGTGGTTAGCCCACCCACTCAGAGGGCTGCACCCCTAGCTGAAAACCAGGGTACACACGGAGAACAGGGGCAACCAGCTCCTTCCCAAAGGGCCTACCTCTCCCGAGCTGGGCCTCTCTGCTGAAAGTCGCCACACCTGAAAAACCAGCTCCTGGATAAACATGAGACACCAGACAGGCCCAGTCACCAGACCCCCTTGGAGCCCGCCAGGACCACCTTGGAGCTGGGTGGGTGGGTGGGCGGGCAGGGGTCCTGTCTGTTCCAGGGAGCCAGGCAGAAGCACTCAGGGGCCCATCTGCACAGGGCTAGCCTGCCACTCCCTCCACTGAGTACAGCCCAAGGGTGGGACTCAGAAGTCCAGCCTTTGAAGACAAGGGGCCAAGGCGTGGAGGTAGGGAGGCTCATCAGGAAAAGTCAATTACTTCCTCACAAAAAAAACAAAGTTCAAACCCTCAAGTTGGGAAGGGGAAGGGAAATAGCTTGGTGGTAGAGCACACGCTTAGCATGCACGAGGTCCTGGGTTCAATCCCCAGTACCTCCATACAAAAAAAAAAAAAAAAAGCCAAATACTCTAAAGACACTCA